CTAGTCATCATTTTATGCCAGGAAGTCCTACCAAGACTGTGTACAAAAAGCCCCAGGAAAAGAAAGGGTGTAAATGTGGGCGTGCTACTCAAAATCCAAGTGTTCTTACCTGCCGCGGCCAACGCTGCCCTTGTTACTCTAACCGCAAAGCCTGCTTAGACTGCATATGCCGTGGCTGCCAAAACTCCTATATGGCCAATGGGGAGAAGAAGCTGGAGGCATTTGCTGTGCCAGAAAAGGCCTTGGAGCAGACCAGGCTCACTTTGGGCATTAATGTGACTAGCATCGCAGTGCGCAATGCTAGTACCAGCACCAGTGTAATTAATGTCACAGGGTCCCCAGTAACGACGTTTTTAGCTGCCAGTACACATGATGATAAAAGTTTGGATGAAGCTATAGACATGAGATTCGACTGTTAAATCAGTGGGTCTTTAAACCTACCTCTGGTAGGGAAATAGCTACAGTTTTACGGCAGCTATGGTTCTGTTGGTTTAACTTGCCGGAGCTCCTGCATATAGATCACTTGTATCAAGTGTTTTCATTGCTAAGTTATATGTGTTAGTGTCGGGGAAATAGTTTTCAGATAATGGAGGAGTAACCCTACAACTATATGTTCTTAGTTCTTACAGAACCTCATAGTTTGAGAACAAATGCTGATGCAACTGATTTATACAAAATGAACTTTGGCAAGGAAAATAACATTAACCTCATTGTTTATGGTCATGCTTTGTGCATAATCAGAGTTTATGATTAAATGTAAGGAAGTGGTATCTAGTCAGTCCATAAAGATTGTGCTAATTTTTTGTGGAAAAAGTAGCCATTAGTTTATTCGGGAGACTCAGTGCTGCCTTCAGATGCCACATTGACGTTTCTCCTGTTAAAAAGCTGAGGTGTCCAGCTCAACCTTTGTGCTGACATAATACCGTTTCTGATCATGAAAATTGGCTACTGGTGTATGTAGCAGTTCTTAAATAAGCAGTATTATGAAAGTAAATTTTCCCCTCATTAGAATGTTTAAGGAACCTGTCTTTTAAAAGTGAACAAATTCTGTCAGACTGCAAATGTTTAGCCATTTGCTTCAAAACTCTCTTGAGTTGAGCTCCCTTTCTAATTAAGTCTGACTCGTTTCTAGGGGAAAATTCTAAATCCTTCCTTCACTTTGAGCAATGTTCTAATTGGATAAATGAAGTGAAGAACATTTTATTCTGAAGGTAATTAAATTTAGACTATATAGTAAGTGACAATTTTTTAAAAAATTATAAAGATTTTATTTAGAAATTGGGATTTAAAATAATTTTGGAATAATGCCCCAAAACTTAACCCAGATTTATGCATTATACTTATTGCCATTTGGCTATTTCTTTGATTTTATTTTCTCTATTTGCCACAGACTTTGTTTTGAATATGCTCCTATTTTTTTTAGGGTGCTATTCATTGTGATGGCTTCTTTATTGAGGCCTAACAGATGCCTTTTTATGAAGCCTGTGCATTTAGGTATGTTTAAAGCTAGGAGGATTTTCTTTAGAATGCTCTTTTGCATGTAAAGCACAAACTGTTTCAGTTTAAATGTACTTCTTCCCTTTAATTTTTTGGGGAAGACAAACATTCTGTTGAAGGGAAATCTGGTCAGTTGCTTGAAAGAGCACAGCCCACATAAAACAAGGACTGACTAGGTATAAAGAGATAACCTTATGATTTAAAAGAAAAGTTGCTGCTTTGACAGTGCTTATTTTATGAAAAATACTGCTGGAAAAGTTCCAATTTCTACTGCGTTCACCACCTCTCGTGAGAGCTGACATATGTTGAAGTTATGTTTTGATTTGGCACTCAGCATGTTCAGTGATGGTTACTCACCTCACACAAGACATGGAGAAGAACCCTTTGGACACAGAGCAGATGACACCTCCTCTTTTGTAGTGTATCTTGGTGTCATTTTCTGTGAATGTGGTCAGGTAGAGTTGTTTTTGTTGTCTTTTTTTTTTTTTTTTTTTTTTTCCTTTTGGTCTTTTTTGGTGGGGTGGGGGTGGGCTAAAGCCATAGGAAGAAAAATGTGATGTATGTGTCCAGTATGTACTATTTTGTTTTTGTTTTGCAAGAAGAGTTGAACTATTTTTGATAACAAGAGTAAATGGTGGAAAATGCTTCTTAGTTGTCTTGTCTTTATTTGCTTTCCAAGTTCTGGAATTTTATTTAATTCCTTTAAGTGTTAGCTGTGTCTTATTATAACATGTATTTACCTAAAGTTTGTAACAGTTTTGTGTTGAATCCAGATGCCCTGCTATATAAACTTGTAAATCTGTTCTTTATTCACTAATGATCACTGCAAAAATGACTAGAAATGAGATTGTACACATGGATGATTAGGATTTATTTTGCAAATCTCCCAAACCTTCCTGATATTATGATCTTAAAATTCATGGAGTACTTTATTGCTTCCCAAGTTTGATAATCTTAGTTTTGTGTTTTTTGATGCATGGGAGGTTGGCAATATAGACAAAGTGGAAATATTAGTATGTGAGGACCTTGATTGTTATGTAATATTGCCAATGATGAATTCAGGTTGTTTTTAGCACAAGTTTCTCTTTTTTATGCTGGTATTCTCACTGCCACATTTTTTGGAAACCTGTATTACACCTTAAATCTATCAATAAATGATAGTTTTCTAATTCTATGTTGTAGAATACTGAGGAATTTGGAATAGCATGCTTTGAGTGGTATATTGGGGGAGAGTAATTACAGTGCCTTTGTTTTTATATTGTTTTCCTTTATACGACAAGTTCCTTAGGAATGCTGACCAATGACTACTGAAGTACCTGGATTTACTTCATTAGGACATGAAACCACCAAAACAAAATGGTGCAATTTCAGTGTTCTTTTGAGTTTATCATTGTTTATAAGTGGTGAAATGATGTTTTACCTAAGGTATTAGTTTTAGAGCTGACAGTTTTATTGTTTGACTAGCTTCATTAAGTGCACATTTCCATGGAGAGGTGCAGTATAGTTGGTCCTAGGGTGAGGAATTCAGTTTACCTTATTGTGTTCTAAAGTTTTCTTTAAGAAAAAAGCTCCATGGTCACCTTGCTGAAGAAAAGTGAAAATTTTATAATTTTAAAATTGTCCTTTCCCATCTCGTAGGTAACATATTAAATGTTTTAGGAAATATGAAACTCTAGTGTGTGATCTAATACTTTGTAGGTAATTTATATTTTTTCATTTAAAAATTACATTATAGATACCCAATAACATGCAGTTATGCATTCCTTCCCAACCTTTATAGTGTTCCCAGGGGTTCAAAGAGTCAGTGTCTTTGAAACTCAAGCTTGTTTACAGTGTTGTTTTTACAGTGTTGACTTTAAATGTGACTAAAGCCAAAGTGTGGTGATTATTTTAGTGAACGTGATTCATATATTTGACCACTTTATTTAATTTTGCAAAAAGGGAAACAAGTCATGCAGCCTTCTGTATTCAAACACACATTAACATTTTCAAAAGCTGAGCAAATGACTTAGCTCATTTGATAGTTTTTTAAAACACTTTAAACAGTACATAGTGACAGGTAAGATGCAGGGGAAATACACAGTTTTATTAGTTTGATTACCTTGGCAATTAGTGTTACGCTATGAAACTAATTTTCCATTAAATAGTATTAAGATCACAACTTTCATCAAGAGTCCTGGGGTACTGTAACAACTTCAAAGTTTCCAGTTTGGTAGCAGTGATTTTATTTAGTATGATCTTTATCAGAAAGTTAAACATATACTATCCTAATTCCTCAGAATTCACATTCTTTGCATTCAGCTCTAGGAAAGAACTGCAGTGACATACATGCTTGTTATTCTTGAAAAATGTATAATTTGGGCAACCCAAAATAAAAACAGTATGTTAAGTGGGATGGTATTGATAGCTGAACTTTTGTATAATTACAGACTTTTAAAGCCAAGTACTGACCAAAGTGCAAGCAAAGAGAACTTTAGTAAGGAGAAGCAAGATTAAAAAAGCCAAATGGTAAAAAGTAGGGCTGAGGGTTTAGCTCAGGGTTAGAATGCTTTCCTACCACGTACAGGCCATGGATCTGATTCTCAGCACCACAGATAAAATATTTTTAAGTTGTATACGATTTCAGTGTGGCTAGTGAGCCCAGCCCTAAGTTCATTAGAGAAAACATAGCATAAAACTGAATTTTTACTTTTTGGTGAATCTCAAATAATTTGGATCATTATAGATAAAACTTAAGCCATATTTAGTTAAAAAAAAAACACCTTTCGTATTTTTTTATCTGACACTAAACATAGTTGTTTTTCGTCTCTAGTACAGGCTTGATGGGATTTCATGTATCGCATGAATAGTCATTGTTTTAAGACAGAGTCAGGCTGGCCTCAAACTGACATCTTCCTGCCCAGTCTCCTGAGTGCTGATATTACAGGTGTGTGCACATAACCCAGCAATAATCTTAATTTTCATAATTTATTGATATGTTTACATTATTGTATGTAATCTAAAAATTTCATCACTTTTAATACTCTGGATGAACTATTAGGTAGTTGTATAATTACCATTTTCTGTAACTGTTAAATGACAGATCAGTTCTAATCATGAAGGTACAATAACCAGGAATCTGGTAGGCTCTTGTGACAGGCGTGCCTGCTGGAATTGTACGATTGATGTGCGTTTCCTAAATTCTCCTTTTCTCCACTTTTTGCCTGCTACAGCACAAAGTTTGATTATTTCAGTGTTTGGTCTTTATACCAGCAAGGGAACCAAGGTGGAGAGGAAAGGAGGCAATTTTGACATTTTCAGGACTGGCTAAAAGAAAAAAATCTAGGAGAAAACATGATTGTGACAAAGGTGGATATTTAAAAAGTTGCTTGGATGGGGTTTCTTTTACTTGTATCAGAAATGTCCCTTTTTTGGAAGTTCCTTTTCAGTTTTCCCCCCTAAGAATACTGTAGGATTTGGCCACACTGTGACCTGCCAGAAAGTGAATACATCTACCACTGTAGTTAAAAAAAAAAAAAAAAGTTTTCCTTCATGGGTGCCATCACTGTTTCCTTCCAATTCTGTGATACTGAGGTGGATGAAATATCTTGAGTACTAGTTTCTTTTCAATATGAAGTAAGGAATACTGCTTAGGATTGAGGCTTTTACTTTTGGCTTAGTCTAACAGTCAATGAAAAAAGCAATATGACTAGTTTGAATATTTCATATAGTATATCATTATCCCTTTAAGGCTTCAAGTAGGCCTGCTAATTAATTTGGAAATTAATGTCATTCAATAGTACTATACAAAAGTTAGAAGGACTTTTGTTTTCTAAGTCAAGTAGGAGTTAAATTTTGTACTAGTCTTCATTTTAAGAGTTTACTTGAGATTTTATAGAAGATCCACAGTCAGGATTGGGAGGCTATCAGAGCTTGCCTACAAAGTTGGAAGGCCCAGTGGTTACAATACCTGAGGATGTAAAGTGACTAGCAGTTTGGCAGGTCATTGTGAAATTACATTAAACTAGGTAAGTTCAAGATCTTTGAACTGCAGTAAATATAATTCAAAGAAGTCTCTGAGATGTTTTGGCAGTGCTTTTATTACTAGGGCCAAGTAATTCTGGAGGCCCTTACTACTTTTTCAAGTTCCAGAATTTTTTGACTCAAGTTTTCTCCAAATGAAGGTTTCTTCTAGGCTCCATAAGAGCCCTGAGGGACCTCAGGGGAGCTGGCCAACACTGAGGCAACTTCTGCTTCTGTGCAGAGAACTGTGCTTGGCACTTTCCCCAAGAGAGCCTTAGTACATTCAAGGGTATGGAGTGCTGATCTGCAGACTCTGGAAGGTGATGATGGTGCATGGTTAGATTCACTTCCGAGGAATATCTGCAAGAGTCGGTTGAGGCAAACTGGAGTAGTCTCCTACGGTGAATGTTGCTTAAAAACATTTTAAAGTTCCTAGTGCAGATGCACACTTGGAGAAATCAAAACCTTTAAAAAGCAGTATGCAAACTACAGCATCTCTTTACATGGAAAAATAGTTGGAACACACATCTTCCTGCAGACATTGGCAGCTACTCTTCATCCACGGACTGAAGCTTTCCACATTTCTCTGAAAGGCTTGAGGTTACTATTTTGTTGCCTTTGTTTCCAAATTCAGAGGGAGAGGCAGGTTCATCTGTTTCATAATCTTCAAAGGAGCTGAAAAAGCAAAAGAAAGTTGTTTTTTTTTTTTTTTTTTAAATATCATTTGTGTAAAGGTCAATAATGGCAAACCGACTAAAGGACCAGCCTGGAAAAGTATCCTCTTGCTAAATGGCAGCTCTAAACACCAGTGCTTCCCTGGGAGGAGCTAAGGCTCGAAAGCAGAATACATTCTTCCTGCTCCTTAAAGCTCAATCAAAACCATGTTAGAGTCTGTTGGAAATGTGCTATATCAAACTTACGGGCCTTGGGTGGTGCTAGGTCAGTGAGCATTATGAGCTTGACATTGTGCACGGAAACTTATGTGGTTTCCGTGCATAATGGGGAACTTTTTTTTGTGTGTGGTACTGGGGTTTGAACTCGGGGGCCTTGTGCTTGTTAGGCAGGTGCTCTACACATGGTCATTTACTAAAGCTTACTACTGTATTTGATGTCATTGGCTTAGTTTTTTTTTTTTGCAGGTGGTGCTGAGGATTAAACTCTGGGCCTCTTGCATGCTCGGCAAGTGCTCTACCACTGAACCACATCCCCAGCTCACCTTGTTACTCTTTGCAGGGACCTTCCATGGCATTTGAGCAAAAGTTTCTGAAGATACAGTCTTTCAAAAAATTACAAAGCCCAACTAGTGAGGAAAACTGCCAAGGTATACCCAGTAGGTGGCGTCAAGTTTCTAATTTATTTCTGCAGTGCTGCGGCTCTAACCCAAAGCCTTACACATGCTACTACCACTGACCTACATCACCAGCCCCTCAACTTTTTGTTGGCAGTCATGGGGGTTGAATTCAGGACCTTGTCCTTGCTAGGCAGGTGCTCTACCACTTGAGCCACTCTGTCAGCCCTTTTTGCACGGGTTATTTCTGAGATAGGGTCTTCCTTGATGCCTGCACTGGCCTGGATCGCCATCCTATTTGTGTTTCTCCAAGTAGCAGGGATGACAGACTTGAGCCACTGTGCCTGGCTTCCTTAAGCAGCTTTAAGTAGAGCTTAGAGAAGGTTAAACTTTTTAGAAATCCTAATTGTTTGGAAATTATTCCCTATGAATTCCAGCTTGTGATACTATCAAAAATTATAGCTTATTTTACAAAAATACCATGTTCCGTTCTTGTTTGTACTCTTCCCCCCATGTCCTCAGGCCTCAATAGAAGCAGTATATACCAGGTAAAGAGGCAATAGAACAGTAACTGGCCCATCAGTTGTGAAGCAGTAGATGGCAGAGCCTTCATTTCTGGGAACAAAATTCTCAAAAGTTAACTTTAGCAATGACTTTCCAGACTGCTTATTTCCTGCCAAATGGAAGATATTTTCTTCCCCATGGTGTTCAAACTTTGCTGTCTACAAGCTGTCAGTGTCTTAAACACCTCAAAGCAGGTCTGCGGATAACGCATGTTTTCAAAGTGTTAAGTCTGAAGTGAGGTTCACTGAGTAAATATTTGAATTCTTGTTGCTAAGCATGAACCAAAATGCTAGGCCTACAATGGTGAAAACAACAACAATAAAAAACAAACCAGTCTGTTCCTCACAGCTCTAGTAAGCAGCCTAATGGAGGCCATCTTGAAATAGTGGCTAAGCTTTAGTGCATGGGCTTTGGAGTCACTGTGAAGTCAGCTTCCAATCGATTTGATCACTTAATGTGACTGGGCACGTTACTTAACCCTGTGTATTTCCTAAACTTAGGCGTTCCTGCCTCAGACAGAGGTGGTTAAGGCCTGATAAACTCTTGGTACTGTTTGTGATGGGAAGTGCTGGGGCTTAGTGGAGTGTGACACAGACCCTGTTTTGGGTTGTAATTTATCACTGTGAATTTAAAAAGTGGGGTAGTTCAATCAGTAACCATCCTTTTGTTAGTGTTGTGGAGGTTCCTAGTCTCAATGATTCTCAGTGGGGGGTGGTTTTGCCCCTAGGGGACATGTGGCAATGTCTGGAGACACTTTGATCCTCATTACTGAGTGGGTCTCCTTGGCATCTAGTGGGTACTGTCCAGGGCTGCTGCTACGTATGCTACAGTGTTCCAGATAATAAATACAACAGAAACAGCAGCTTAAAACATCAGTGCTGGTGAGAACCCTACCCCACTTTTCCTCTTCAGTGTCAGCATGTCTGGACTCAGCTCTTCTGTATTTCCCTGCCAATCTTAAGTCTTCCACTACTCATTCACCTGTGGCTTCTAAACCTACACATCCATATCCAGCCTCAACTTCTCTCTAAACTAAAGGCCCCTATGTGTCCACCTGCCTGTTAGCTCTTCCAGGACAGCATCATTTATAAAGCTGAACTCCGGTTCTTCTTGTTTTAGTGAATGGCGTCCTCCACCACTCAAAGCCAGAAACCTAGTTATTCCAAGTTCCCCGTCCCCTCTTGCAGTACCACATGGACACAGCCCTGCTTCCTCGTCATTGCCACTGACTTGGTTAAGGCCACCAGTGCTTCCTTGCTTGGACTCCCAAGAGTTGTCTTAACAGCTGAACTTCCTGCCTTCACTCTTGCACACATACCCTTTGCCTCTGTCTTAGCAGGCCATTTGCCATGTTGGAATGGGTTATGTTCTGAGGGCTTACTGCTTCTTGCCTACAGTAGCCTTACCTCTGGCTAATTTTGTTGGCCTTTTCATGTCACTTAAAAGTTTCCTGATTGCTCTGGCTACTCAGCTACCACAGTCTTTTATTTAGATGTTGTAATGGCTTTGACTCCTTACTTCAATTTCTGCATCTCTACCAATCTAGCAGAATAATCTTCAAAACGATTATTTGTGGAATTATGTCACTTTTTTGCTTCCCCTGGCCTCTAAGCACATCTCCCTCCACTGCTCACTATGCTCTGGATACATTCACTTTTTAAAACTTCCCCAACCTGCTGCTTGCTGCCTTTCAGCCATTACATGTATTTTTCCCTCTAGGACATTTTTACTCCCTGATGTCTGCATAACTATTTTCTTCTCAATCTTTCATGCTCAGCACTTCACGAAGTTACAGTCTCCCCTCTCCATTATTGGTTGGTTCCACCTATCTGTTTTTCACTTGACTGTAAAGTGTCCATTCTGTCGCTCACTCATTTCCTTTGGCTGTAGTGTAGAGTAGCTGGCTTCTGGGGAAAGGTGAAGTCCAGTAAAATGGTGAAGGTGCAGAAGTCCTGAAAGTCAGACTGGTGAGAGCCTTTATTTTTTATTCAGCTCTTCAGAATGCCTGAGAACACGGAGAGAAAAGTCTTATCACCCGACTCCTAAATGACCACTTTGGGTTTAAGTAGGTGCAAGCTGTTGAGCTTCTTAGGGTTCAAGTGATTATTTCACGAGGTGTTCTTTGTTTAGCTGTTCATTTTTGAATGAGCACAGGGGTAACAGAAGTAAAGCAGAACTCAGGGTTCACAGTTTACTAGAAATCATATGTACTAAACTGAGAACAAATTCCTTAAGCTAGTATTGTTAGCATGAGAGAAAACGGCTCATGTAATTCAACCAGCAACAACATTGCTTTGAAAAACCAGTTTTCGCTACATAAGGTTTCCCTTCCAGATGAGCAATTTCTGGGCAAAAGTTGTTTCTGCAGATTCCTGGCTCCTGATCTTTTGTATGTGTGTCTGTGTGTCTGGGGCTTGAACTTAAGACCTCATGCTTGCTACACAGGTGCTCTCCCTCTTGAGCCACTCTGCCAGACCTCGTACTGCTGGGATGGAAATATAGTAACTGGAATGAGCAGAAATAACGACCGGCACACGTGGCTGCCACAGGATTTTATGCACTTTCAGGTGCTGTCTGGGACTTGTGATTTGATTCCAGTTTCTGGGGTTTTTGACTGTTTACAGAGACAAAGGGACAGAATATTTGATTAAGGGAAATCTAAGATAATGGTGATTATTAAGCACAGAATAAAATGTTAAATAGTTCTTGGAATCTCTCATACTTCTGTAATACTTAAAATAGGAGTGTGCGGATTTTATCCTAAATCATTTACAGAAAATGGACTGAATGAATTCTCTTGGAAGTTGGATATGTGATTTATTGAGTTTCCTTAAAGCATCTAATGTGTAGAAAATCTTTTGTTTTAACTTTTGTTAAAGTTTCCCAAAGTAACACCATCTATTTTCCTACTTCAGAAAGTTGACCTGCCTTTAAAAATGTTGGTTAGAAGAACAACTTTTTGTTTTGAGACAGGGTCAGGCTGTGTGGCTCAGGCTGGTCTTGAACTCATGATCCTTCTGCCTCAGCTGCTCAAGTGCTGAGATTACACCACCATGCCCAGCACCAACGATTCTTACAAACTGCTTGAGAAAACACTGAAGCATTAAAAGTCATGTTTTGAACACACTAGTAACATTAAGTGTCAAAAAAAAAAGTGTACTGAAGCATAAATAATGGTTACCTCTAAATTGCTGGACCAATCTCTCCATTTTCTGGGTTTCTTCAACTAGTCTTTTTTTCTACCAATTTGATAAATTTCCAGAACAAAAAAGAAGTGTGTTCAATCTGGGTTACTCAAATGTGAAGCTGTGAGGCTGTTGGTGAAACACCATGATACCCTCCTTGTAAGAGAACATTTTCCACCTCCCCCATGCTAGGACTTGAACCCAGGGCCTTACACATGCTTGGCAAGTGTACATCACCAGCCCCAAGAGAGCACTGTAAAGATAATATAAAAGGTTAATAACTAAAAATCTGAAGTAATCAAGTATTAGTCAAGTTGACAAACACTTGTTTTTATTACTGCAGGTCTTTTTCCTAAGATAGTAACACACCTCCATGCTTTCCTTTAGCCTTCTTGACTTAATTTTTGTGGAGTTTTAAACTTACTGTAGTGCAGAAACCATATGAATGTTAATTATAAATAGTGGTACAATCTGTTATCTTCAATATAGGTGACACGCTAGCTAAATAGGCTGAAGTAATTGGTAGCCTTGTCTTTCTATTTTCCCTATGACTAGTCACTACCAGGGGTTGAATTTATACAAATACTGTTGTATGCGGTGATCACTTTGTATGCTGGATGTGGTAATTTGCAGTGTTT